ATGTGACTAAGTCTTTCATGGCTCAATATAAGAAGATGTTGGCTTGCTTACAGAATCAAACTGAAGTTCTTGGTGTTCATGGAATTGGTCCTGATACCTGGTCTGGGAAGACACGCAATGTCACCTGCGACAGGTGCCAGGATTCCTACAGAGCACTGAACCATATTTATGCTGATGTTCTTGGTGATATTGATGCAGATCACATTTGCATGGACATTGTGGATGCAGTAAGTCAAATGCAGGCTTATGTGCCTTCCTATTGAGGTCTTAGGGTGGGCAAAAAAAAAACAACCATGGCTATTCAATAATTTCTTCAAAAGAAGAGAAAGCCAGAATCCACTGAAGAGCAATGCATTTGAATGCTCCAACTCCAAGGTAAAATCTTTGACAATAAATTTTCCTCATGTTTAGCTCTTTTGGAAATTGGCTGCCAAATATTACCGGTACTGGTGAATAACCCAGTCCAAAACCATTCGGAGATAGTATCCAACTCTTAATCACTCTCCTCTTGCACATCCCACAGAATCTGAAGCTTGTCTTCCTGTAAGCTGTCCTAAAATGCTGCTTAATTGAAATAGTTCAGTTTTGAATGTCAGTTGCTGCATTTAAGACTCTGTCAAGTCTGACATGTGCTGATGCAAGAAAGACAGTTGTTCAAGAGCTACAGTATGAGGCAGTATGTTGGTGAAAGATGAATCAGCTGCCAGGGAAGACAATAGATTTAAGAGAGCAGGAAATTTATCATGGAAGAAGTCATTTATGCTCTTGTGATCCTGGAACTTGGGGAACACTTCTGAAAAAGCTTCACCTCAAATCCAGTAGATGTCTTGGCAGATATATGAGCCTTGCTGTGGCGAGGTTGATAAGTCTGCTAAGACCATTAATTTACAAGATTACTGTTGCCAGAGTGAGGTGTGAAGCTTCCCAAATAGGAAGCAAAGATAGGGACACCTGATTAACAAGTCCAACCACCAGAAATTTGTTTAAGCAATTTAAGTTTGAGTATTCTAGTAATCTCATCTTTGTAGATTGCACCTGGAGAAAGGTTGCAGAATGCCTGACCGCTTAGACTAAAATCTGATGTATTTGGGGAAAATGCCTAATAAAAGGTTGTGTAGCCAATGAAAGTATGTTTATATTGCCCAATTACTCAACATGAAAAAAAAAACTTTTTTAGCATTAAAACTTTTAATAATACTTATAGATTTACTGTTACCTGATGTCTCAATTGGTTGCCTCAGATGAACATGACTCGAATGGTGTGGAGCCAAAACCTCAAGTGCACTCAGAGGAATGTGACAGCAGAAGCACCCTTCATTGTTGTGACATGCATGTGCATCCTTCCACCTCTCTTCTACCTCTTGGCCTGGTGTCTTCCACAGCACCAGCGTGGCCCCATTATACGTCGTAAGTGTTAGCAAATACTGGAATTTGAGTTGATTGAGTGCCTTGCTGGAATATACCATACTGGCAAAGGAATTTCCAGTTGAACCATGGAATGGAACAAGATGGAATGAAAATTTAAAAAGTGAGAGGCCAATCACAATATTTGCCATTTTCCCATAGTACGTATGGGAATGGCAGATAAAAAAGGAAGGGAAATCTTGGGTAAGTTTGGACAACTGCCCCTCCAGAAAGGCTTCATGCTTCCAGATTAGGCTGAGTTACTTCTAAAAGTGACAAAAGGAGAGGGAGACAGCCAGAAAAGTAGCTCATCCACATGGGGAAGTATGTTTCATTCAAAAACTTCTTCCCGGGTCAGTTACTTTTTCATATTTTTTTTTTAAGGGACAAGGGTGTAGCAGTACTTTCCTGGTTCAGGGATGTAAATATTGGGTTGGAAAGAAGGTCTTGCAACACTTTCTGACAAAGCCCTGTGGAATGCCCTCAACGCGAAGCCAAACACCACCACTCGCGCATTGGCGACTACACTTGGAGTCACCCATATGGCCATCGGCAACCATCTGAACGACCTCGGCTATTGGAAGGTTTACTCGACATGAGTCCCTCATCAGCTCAGCGACTCTGACGAAGCAAGCCATGTCAGTGTCTGCGAATCACTGCTCCTTCGTCTGCACAGAAAGGACCTT